TCTTAATCACTGAGCCATCCTTCAGTCCCTCTTATTCTTTAATGCAGTGTCCAAAGTGACTGTGTCTACTCACTGAGCCCCTCATTATTTTAGCAAATATCTGAATTAAGGAGAGACCACAAATTGGAAATTCTTTGGCTGAATTCTGCTGGTATTTATTCCGTACAGTGCTTTAAGAATGTCATAAGGGATTGGGAGATGGCTCAGCCAATAAAGTGTGGGGACCAGAGTTGGGCCCCAGAATCCACGTTAAAAAAAACCAATGAGCCTGGTGTGGTGGTGCATGCCTTTAATCCTGGCACTTGAGAGGCAGAGGTAGGCAGATCTCTGAGTTTGAGTCCAGCCTTGGGCTATATATCCATTTCTAAGCCAACTAGGGCTACATAAAAATCTTAAGGGGTTGGGAGATGGCTCAGTCAGTAAAGTATGAGGACCTGGGTTTGGTCCCCAGAATCCATATAAAAAGTCACTCTGAGTCAGATGTGTTGGTGCATACCTTTAATCCTAGTACTTGGGAGGCAGAGGGAGGCAGATCTTTGTGAGTTCAAGGCCAACCTGGGCTACTTTGTGAGTTTGAGGCCAGCCAGGTTGTTCCTTTCAGCAGTTAGTTCCTTACAGATGTTCTATGACCTGTTTGCCCTTAACTTTCCTTGCCTGGTGCCTGGTGAAGGTGTAGTGAGCACCCTCTCCGAGTGCCTGATCCACAGTTTCCTCATTGACAGGACCCTGGAGGATCTGTAAGATCCTCAGATAGCAAAATGGATGCTTGGAGAAGTTTTCAATGTTGAGCACTGGTTTTGCAATTTCTTCCACACCATTGTATAACTTTTTACTTTTCTTTAAGGCTGTTGCAATCTCTGGCTTTTTGGATCAACCTCCCTTTAGAGTCATGCCTTCAGTGTTTGAGCTGGCCCCAGGCTTTACCATACTGTTGGAGGTAGGTAATTAGACCTGTTCTTTATGCTCACCCTTGGTGGTTTTCCCAGTTGTGGTGTCATTGCATCTGCCTCTGTGTTTTCATGACTCATGTCCACACCCATCTCAGGACCCAGCAGAATTGGGTTCCAGACAGGTGCATGTTCTTGGATTCTGCAGGACGATGTATTTGACTCATGATTTTCCTTATCAGGCAAATGCAGACAATCCCAACATTCCCATCAAGATCTCTGAGCATTGCTTGTCTACACTATTGGCTTGGGACTCACTTGCACTGATATCTAAGCTGACTCTCAGATCTTCTCCAGGTTCTTCTGTCTTCTTGGACCCTTTCCAAACTCACTGTCACCTGGGTGATGAGAATGGCCCTGACTTGTTTTCCTCTTTCTGTAGCCAACAAGGAAGGTCCCACCATCCTCAGGCCTTCTTCTGAACCTCTGTAGCAGCTCCCAGAAAGAAAGCTTGTCCTGGCTGTGTGCCTCTCCTTTCCTGACTGGCCCCTTTCGGCATTCTGTCTGGTTCATCATGCTTGCTAGCTGGTTTCCATAAGTGCCTGAAGAAAAAAATGATGCTTCTTCCCTGTGCCTCCACATTGTGTCTACCACCCCAATCATGCCCCTGGTTTCAGGGTCTAACTCTGAGCCTGGATGTGACTGGTGTATGGCCAGTGGTCAGTGTACACGTCCTCTTTCATTTACTCATTGAGGAGGTGTCTATGTTCATCAGTAAAGCCTGATTGGGTTCTAACAGGTTGTGAGGTCAAAGAGACATGGCAATGAGAAACTTACAAACAGCCAGGCCTGGACACCAGCCCTGATGTTCTGAGTTCACTGGTCTGGGGTATGACCTGGGCCAATGAGAGATCCTTAAAAACAAGGTGGAGAGTGACTGAGGAAGACACTCAAGTTTGACTTCTGGCTTCCATACACATGCACATACATGTGCATCCCATCTACTGACCCAGAAACTTCCCAGGGGCTGTGTAAGGGGCTGCTGTGGGGGACCACTGCCAGGAAGGCTTTGTAATGATGTAAACAGTGATTTCCTTTCACCCCAACTGCTGTCCAAGTTTAAGTGCTTGATGCAGTCTTGGTCTGCAGCCCTGGGAATGGCTATCTAGTTTCATATCCCTGCTGATGAATTTCCCAATGAGAACCTGCTTCTCAGGGTTGAGACAGGACCAATTCAGAGGTGAAGAAGGGCTTCCTAAAGCCTGGCATATGTAAAGCTGGGTGTGGTGGTGCACACCTTTAATTCCAGCACTCCAGAGGCATGAGCAGGCAGAGCTCCAGGCAAACCAGGGCTACATAGTGAGACCCTGTCTCAAAAAAAAAAACCAAAACAAAGCAAAGGACTGGAGTGACGGCTCACTGGTTGAGAGCACTAGGTGCTCTTGCCAAGGACTCTAGTTCAGTTCCCAGCACCCACATAGCCAACTAACAACTGTCCATAACTCCAATTCCATGGGGATCTGATGCCCTCTCCTGGTCTCCACCACCACTGCGTACATGCATGCAGGCAAAACACTCATACACATAAAATAAAAATAAATTAAAACATTTAATTGGTGTGTGTATGTGTGTGGTGTATATATGTAGTGTATGTACATGTGTATGTGTGTGCAATGTGTACAAGAAGGCCAGAGGAAGGTCTCGGGTGTCCTGTTCTAGCACTGTTTCTTGAGCACTCTAGCACTATTCTAGCACGGTCTCTAGCACTATTCTCTTGAGACAGATTCTTTCACTGAATCTGGAGTTAGGCTGACAGCCAATAAGCCCCAGCCACCTCCTGTCTCCACTAGGCAAAGCACTGGGGTTACAGCACCCAGCTTTTTATGTGGGTGCTGGGGATTCAAACTCAGGTTCTCATACTGTATACAAAGCTTTCTTACCAACTGAGCCATCTCCCTGCCCCTGAAGTAGGGTTTTGTTAGTCCTTTTCTACTTCTGAGGAGCAGATTCACTCTACAAGGCCCACATGCAGCCCAGACTCAGACCTCTAGACCTGCTATAGCCCAGATTCTGACGGAACCTTGTGGTGGCTTTAAGGAATTAAGGCTGGTCTCCCCTGGATCCGCATCCTTGTCTCCTGTGGTCTCCAAGGACAGGAAGAAGGTAGCAATGTGAATCAATGAGAAACTCTACACTTCCCCTTGTGTTTGTGATGCAAATTTTGTTTATTGGTTATTTTTTAATTTTGTTTAAAAACTTGTTGATATATCCAGATAAATCCATTCATATAATTGAAAATTCCCAAACTGGAAATAGAAAATGTTCCCTTTCACCTCAGCTCCTTGACCCCTTCAGAAGCCAAATACTACTAGTTTGAGGTGGGCCTCTCCAGAGATATTCTAGGCCACAACAAGCAAGGTTTTGCATCTACTTCCCGTCACATGGAGTCATGCTCTCTATACTGCTCTGTACTGTCTGTTTCCACTGAGCGCTGTGTCTTAGACATCTCTCTAATGTTTTTCATAACTGTATAGAGTTCTACTGTGTTCCTGAACTCAGCAGCCACCCACCAAAGGATGTGAAGATTTCTTCTGATCTCTAGCTATTTCAGCTAATAATTCACACACCCACCACTCTATCCAAGTATGAGTTTTCTGTGGCATATAGTCCATGAAGTAGGTTTGCTGATTTAGGGGTCCAGGCTGTTATAATTATGATGCTTGTTCCTAAAATCCTCACCACATGCACTGTTCCAATTTACACTTTCAACGGCAGCTTTCTTACATACTTGCCAACACAGTATATGATCAAGCTTGTAAAGATCTGTTGTCACAAGTATTTTATAACATTTACAGTAAAGAGAATGGTTTCGTGATCATCCGGCTTCAACAATGAACAACTCTTGGCAAATCTTATGGCAGTCACTCCTTCTCTCCCTCAGTCTATCCACACCCCTACAGTTATTTTGAAGTAAATTACAATATTTCCTGCATGGTATTTATTAGTCCCCTCAGTTGGAGGTGAAGTTCAGTGGTAGAGTGACTGCGTAGGGCCCTGGCTTATATTCCTAGCTCTGCAAAAGAGAAAGGCGGAGGGAAGGAAAGGAAGGGGAAGAAAAGAACAGGAAAGAAAGGAAGAAATTAGACTCTTGACTGTCATGCCATATAGAAAACTCAATTCAAAATTAGAGTTTATATGTGCCAGAGAGATGGCTCAGGGTACAGGCACCTACCACCAAGCCCGAAGACCTGAGTTTGGTCCCCAGGACCCACGTGGTGGAAGGAGAGAAGTGTCTTCAATAGGTTATCCTATGACCTCCATATCCATACACACACACACACACACACACACACACACACACACACACACTAAAGTGGGGGGAAATTAAATAAAAAAGAAAAGAGTTTAAAGATCAAGTTACACATAAGCCTTGAAACTGTAAATCTACTAGAAGAAAACAGAGGGGAAGTTATGGTTTGAATGTGAAATGTCCCCACAGGTTCGGTTTGAGCTCTTGTTCCCCAGCTGGTGGCACTATCTTGGGAGGCTGTGGGACCTTTCAGAGGCGAGGCCTTTCTGGCAGAAGTAGGACAGAAGGGGCAGACCAGCCCCTCATCCTTACTGCTGTTCCTTTGCTTCCTGGTCTCTGTGATGTGAACAGTCTGTGACATACACCCTCTCCTCCAGGTTTTGTTCCTCCCGACAAGCCTAGGAAAAGCAGAGGAGACCTTCATTATCGTGTGTGACAACTGTCAGACAAAGGAGCTGGTGATTGTAGGTAGGTTGGTGTGTGTCCCAGGATTGGCGAAGATCTGGCCCCAGGAGCCGCTGATCAGAGTAGCATTTGTGGTGGTATGGCCATACCTGCCTTTGTATCAAGGGGCACATTAAGGGGACACCACAGCTTCCTGGTACAGGCACTAGTATTCAGCCCTTTAATCTAGTCAGACATTGAAGACACAAGCCAGTATGGCTTCCAGGACAGGAGTGGAGTCTTTTAGAGGATGCTGGGGTGAAATCTTTCATTGTGTTTGTTTAGTTGATTCTCTTGAGACAAGATCTCATATAGACCAGGCTGGTCTCAAACCTATTGTGTGGCAAGGCTAGCCTTGAACTCCTGATCCTCCTGCCTCTACCTCAAAAGTGGTAGGCTTGTAGGTGTGTGCCACCATACTTAGAAAAATCTTTCGTTCTTTCACTTTAGAATCCACTGTGAATCATAAGTGACTCAACATAAATTGCTAGTTGCACCTCTGGGTTTTTGTAAGCTTAGAGAGGGTATTTTTCTGAATTGAACCACAGGCTTACCTTTCTTCCCTGACTCCCTTTTTTCTGTCTGTCCAGGTTCACCTGGTAGTCAGTAATTGGATATCTGCTGTGTACAAGGGTCACCAAATTATTTCTTTTTGGTCTGGGAAGAGAGAGTGTGGACAGGTGCTCAGGACCCTCTTTCCTTTCCCTCTCATGTCTGCTTCTGGGGATTCTGGGCAAGGCCAGCTGCACATGGATGTGGCACAGGTGCCATGGCAGCCTTTGACCACAGGGTCCTGACATCAGCCTCATGACACTTAATGAGCTTTAGCACTCTGCTTTGTCAGGAACCGGTCAGCTGGTGGCTTTGGAGCTGATCTATATTTCTGGTGGAAAAAGTGAACAAGACCCCGGAGAGCTCAAAGACTTAACAGCCCAATATTTCATCCGATTTGAGCCTGAAAACCTTCAGTCCACTGCAACACAGCAGCTGATTATCAGAAATGCTACGTGAGTGGCCCTGGGCACGGCCCTGACACACAACCTTTGTCCCTCCTCAACCAGCTACAAGTTCCCTGTAACACAGGAGATGTGTACTAAGAGTCAGGGGCTGTTGTGAGCCCAGAATGGACCTAGACTGGATGGAAGGCTCCTGACTCACACTGCCTATTATGTAACCATTAGACATGTGTAGCTGTTTTCTCTGTGTGTGTATGTGTTTGTGTGTGTGTGTGTGTGCATATGTGTGTATGTGAAGAAGCCAGACAGCAACCTCAGCTTTATTTTTTTAAAAACATTTTATTTAGTATTTTTACTTTATGTGTATGAGTGTATTGCCTGCATGTATGTAAGTGCACCCATGTCGTGCAATGCCTTGGAGGTCAGAAGAGGGCATTGGATTCCCCTGGAACTGGAGTTAAGGATGGTTTGTAGCCACCATGTGGGTGCTGGGAATCAAACCTGGGTCCTCTGCAAGGGCAGTCAGTGCTCTTAACCGCTGAGCCATCTCTCTACCCCTCAGCCTTGTTTCTTTAGGTATTATCCACTTTGTTTTTGTCAACAGGATCTGTCACTGGCCTGGAACTCCCCAAGTGGGCTAGCCTTGGCTATCCAGGAAACCTTTCCAGCACTGGAATCACATGCTACCAGGCCTGACTTTTTTGCTTTACTTTTTAAACTTGGGTTCTGGAGATCTGACTCAGTCCCATGCTTGTCACTTTATTGACTCAGCTATCACCCCAGTCTGCCTTTCTCTTTCTTTTTTCTTTTCTTTTTGTTTTTTAAAGACAGGGTCCCACTATATAGCCCTGGCTTGCCTGGAACTTACTGTGTCAACCAGGTTGGCCTCAAACTCTCTGAGACCCACCTGCCTCTGCCACTTGAGTGCTGGGATTAAAGGTGTGCCCCCCGCACCTGTCCAGCTATTGCTCTTTAAATCAATTAAAATTAAATGAAATGGCAAGCGCTTACTCAGTGCACTAGCTGCATTTTAAGTGCTCAGTGGCCACCTGTTGCTAGTGGCTGGTGTACTGGACAGCCACACAGGCTCTCCATCACTGTGGGAAGCCATCACTGCACTCAGGATACCTCTCCTTTACTCTGAGCCAGGAAGGAATGCGTGGTTTCCCTTGCTTGCTCTTCTTTGTTTGCAGTATTGGGGATCTAGGAACAATTTTCCAGAGAGGAAATTGCTGTGTCCCTGGCTTGGAAGTCATTCAGGTCTCAGAGGGTCTGTGGGTTCAGCTCTCATTGCCATTTATTTCCTTGACCAACCTTTGAATACCACATTCCACAAGGACTGACCTCAGGGAGCCTCCTGCCCCAGCATGACAGAAAGGACTTATCTGACATCCACCCTCACATCCCATTGCCTGCCAGCAGCATGCCTAGAGTTCTGTCCCTTCTCCTGCTACAGAGCTGGCACTGTCCCTGTGGGCACATGTCTCTGTGAATACAGCCATCCTGGAAGGCCATGGCAGCCATTCTGGGAGGCAGAAGGGGAGAGTGGGGTGGGTGTGTGATAGGAGATGCTGCAGAGAGTTTTCCTGATATCTGGGGATGCCTGGACTCTGCTAGTATAAAGGTTGGAACCTGACTTCCTACATTACCCATGTCACCTCATTCATGGTGGCTTAGCTCCCCAGCAGCTGTGAGTGGCGAGAAGGTACTGTCTTACCCAGTCTCCATTTTGGACTCCCTAACCCACCTCATCCTTAGCTAGGTTGCCGCCAGCTCCTCACTGGGAAAGCTTGAAGCCTCACCTGGTCACATCTTGTTCCCAGGCCCTTTCTTACTCACTCTTGGCATAGAGCAGGCCAGGTGGGGGTTGGGAGCACCTAAAGAGTTGGATCCATTGCCCACTGTCATGGTTACCCCCATAGGCATGTGGATCTGGCCTTCCACTGGCAGATCATGAAGCCCAATCTTCAGCCTCTGATGCCTGAAGAAACCTACAGCTTGGAGAGCATCAAACGCCACCCTGACCAGGAGACGGCCTTCTCCATCATGCCGGAAAAGGGGGTCCTTGGTGCCCACTCAGACCACGAGTTCATCTTGAGCTTTTCTCCTTACCAGGTTAAGATGATGTCACCTTATTAGCCACCAGTGATCAGGTCATGAGATTTTTTTTTGTCCCTCTGTCCATGTTCTTGAATGACCCTGAAGCCACAGCTGGACCTGGCGAAACACCTGGGCATCATGCTGAACCCAGCACACAGCTCAGAGTGTCACTGGCATACAGTTCTGGTGTACAGGACTCAGCAGATCATTTCCTAGTTCTGATCCCAGACACCCCACCTATAGCAGGTGCCTGGGCCTCAGCCCAGAGCTGCTGCATCAAAGCATATAACTGTTTCTATCCATCCTCCAGTAGCCCCTACAGAGAGAGAGAGACACAGGCTCCCAAGCCAGTACAGAAAGAGAGAGAGAGAGACAGGCTCCTGAGGGCCAGCATGGCACAGGACTGAGCCAGGGACCCTTGTTAGAGGTCCTGGACCCAGTCTAAGGCTGCCTTTGGAGTTATCATGAGATTACTTGTGTCTGGGAAGGTTCTTCGGGCACACTGAGGTACTGCTCAGGGCCAATGTCAACTTTGGAGGTGGGGGTTTTCCTTCCTGACCCCCAGGTTCCTGCCCTTGCAGGACCCCACTGTCTCTAGGGTGGGAAAGAGGAAGCTGGAAAGCAGCAAGTCTTTCAGAAGCCTCTGGTACCCAGGCACAGGAAGGAGGAAATGCAACTCCCTGAAGGCAGCCTGGCTGGAGGGCCAGTGTGGTTATAGCACTGATGTTTTCTTTGCAGCTGAAGTGTTTCCACAGTGTACTGCAAATGGTATTGGAAGCTGTTCCTGAACCCTTGATGTGAGTAGGCCCTGGAGAAAGTGCCAAGCAGGTGTAAATGAATGACCTGACCCCTAGCATGCTTTGGGGGCTGGGAACACTTTACCTTGTCCTGTTAACCTGGCCCAGAGTGGGCTTAGGAAGCAGGGAACAGAGGACACTGGACTTGCTACAAGAGCTGTGGGCTACCTGGGATTCTTGGGCTGTGTCCCAGACTCACTGATATTCCTGGGCAGCTTAGGTGGTAGTCCCTGTATAAGGTAAGTGCTGAGGGAAGGCTTTACCCAGGATGCACTAACCAGGGGTGAGTCTCCAGGGAGCCTGGCGCAGAGCTTCCAGCCCAGGACTTATACTCTGGTCCCTGGAGGCCATGGGGCCATGTCCCAGTCTGTAGGAACACCCCAGGCCACTCTGCTGTCACTTTACATTTTGTCACAGTACAGACACTGGCATCTGCCTGTGAGGGGTGCAGGGGCTGTGGATAGGGGAGCACTTTTTGTTCACAAGACTAATGAAGTGGGATAGAGGCATGGATTCACTCCTGGGGTGTGTCAGTTCCTAACTCACGGTGGGTATGTATTCAGCTCAGAAATGAAGAATTTGGGAGACTACTCCTACTCTGTGGATGACGTGATTGTCCTGGAAATTGAGGTGAAAGGTTCAGCACAACCCTTCCAGATTCTCTTGGAGCCATATGCCCTCATCATCCCTGGCGAAAGCTACATTGGCATCAACGTGAAGAAAGATTTTAGGGTAGGGCATCATCTCTCACATGCTTGGGCTGGTGGAGGTGAGGTTGTACTGTAAGTGTAGGAAGGACAGAGCTCAAGAGGCCACAATGTGGAACCTAAGATTGTTTGTAAAGGATCCCCTGAGCCTGTAGGGGTTCACAGTCCTGGGCTAGGCTGTGTCTGTTCTATTTTATCAGTGTTCCAGAATCTTCTGCGGGGCTGTGGAACTCATTCTCAGGTCTGTAGCAGGATCTTGCTGCATCCCTGCAGCATGGACCACAGAACCTCTTGAGTAGGGAAGTTCTGAGGTTTTGGATGGTCAATAGCTGAGTGTCAAGTGGACCCTTTGGGAGTCAGCCCTTCAGTAAGTTCCGATTTGACATGAATGAGTATTGGGTAGCCTGGACTGGGTGTGTCTTCCAGATGTGGAATAACAGCAAGTCACCCATCAGATACAAGTGGGGGAAGGTCAGCGACTGCCACATCATCGAAGTGGAGCCCTGCACGGGGGTGATAGGTACCTCAGGGTGGAGGGTGTGGCCGGCCGGGGAGCTGGATGCAGGGGACATCAAAAACACACAGGCAGGCCCCTAGTTGTCCAGTGATCAGATTCAACCTTGGCCTTTGCCGTGTGACAAGCAAGGCTGGAAACTGCCCCTGCTCTGGTCTCTACCTCCCTTTCTTCCTCCTTCCCAGAGCCCAACGAGGTCGGGGATTTTGAATTGAACTTTACTGGGGGTGTCCCGGGCCCAACCAGCCAGGACCTGCAGTGTGAAATCACAGACTCGCCCTGCCCAGTGGTGCTACACATAGAGGCGGCCTTTAAGGTGCTGTGAGTGGGGGACTGGGCATGCCGGGGACGGGGCCCGGGGGGGGCGGGGGGGG